CAGTATGGTTCATGTTTTAGAGATTTTTATCAAAATATATGTTAATGATAACAATCAGTTCACATGATAAAAAGTCCAACTTTTAACTTATAAAACAGGTCTAGATGTTTGTCAATAGCTCAGGTCCAGACATTACCAATTTTTTACAATAAACTGAAATGAAAAAGTCATATAAACAGTGGTTTATGACAGATACCAGATATATTATTAAATTTGCTAAAACTAGAAACTGTACCCAAGGGACACTGTTGCCCCCATTTCCACTGTTTTCAAGGTGGGGGTAAAGAAAGACAAACATGGCATACAAAAAAATTCATACAAACAATTGCTCTTTTGCCTTCTTATATCGATATTTTTTACTTCCAGATTTCTTTACTTTTTTTTAAAAATCATTCTGTGGAAATGTTGAATAAAATCAAAATGCAACAGAAAGTCATTTGTTCTCCATAGATGTATGCCCATTGGTGGCCTGGAGGAACTCTATATACACTCATGCAGATGTCATCCTTGTCAGAAAAATGCTATACAGACTTCCCATATGACACAACCAGTGCTGGTAATTTTAAAACCACAATTCTTTTGTTCTTGTGATGTTTTTCATTTCTTTTTCCAAACAGTGAAAAGTATTTGTACTCTAGTAAGCAGCTGGTCAGTACATTTCAAATTGTAATGAGGGCTTCTTAAGTTTAAACCTCTTGTAAAAGTACTCAAGAACTTTTAAAATAGTTATACCATTTAACTATTTTTATTTTCATTCTGAGAAGAAGTTTATGATAAAGAATATAAACTCTCAACCAACATGTCACAGTGACAACCCTATAAAGCTATGAAAATTTAAATGAACTGGGCCATCTTAAATGTCAATTTTATGGACCAACATGACTGTTTAAACCACACAATTAAGGAACCCTGCAATTACTGGCTGCCAAAATGGCTATTGCCCTCTAAAAAGGGCTGCAATTATGCCCCGGCACGGTTGGACCTAACCACAACATTTGTCAATTTTCCAAAGTTTAAAAATAAACTCGGCATGATGTCAAAGTCTATTTTAAAACTATTAAATGCCAAAAAAATGACAACACAGGAAGTTGAAAAAAAATGTTTAGGTTTTATATAGGGTGGGTACTTGCTATTATAAATAGCAATAGTGACATTATTGTAATAAAATGACAAAAGCAACTGGTTTGAGAATGTACCCTACAGTGTGCCATGACAATATATATTTAATTCCTATTTAACTTTTGTTTAGACTTAATTTTTGGCTATGTAAGTTACCTGTGTTTTTTGTTGTCATTTTTTGACCACATGTAACTGCCAATCTCTTCATTATTTTCTTTTTGCTACGTTTTTAAGTCATATAATTATAATTATGCAATAGAATTAATGTAAAAAATTTATGGTGAATTTCCAAAGACATCACAGACTCTGCATTATTTCTGTCACCTGATATGTCCATATAAAATATTACAGCAAAGACATGGGCAAGAGACAATCAAGTCAGTGACATGAACCTTATTCTCCATATCTCTCCATATTTTTTTGTTTGACAATTCCAGGTACATGCACATTTTTTTATTAACAAAATGCTCTTATGTCTTTGAAAGAGAGAGGATGCATTTCACATCTTGCAATGAAAATTATATAAGCACATGCAATCCTCCACTGTCGGTTATTTATGCCTCTGTGTTCTTAAATAATTACCATTTTGTGTAAGTTGATCTGTGTAGAAAATTATATTTCAGTACATCACATACTGTGCATAAATTGAAACACCTTAAACACAAAACCAGATCAAATCTATCGTGTTTCCTAAAACATATATTTCAGAGGATCTCCAAGGCAATAAACTGTATTAAAATGATACCTAAATTACACTTACTTTGTTCAAAATATGCTTCATCTATGAAACACAAAGTCTATACATAAATATATTCTAACATATTGTAATTAATTCTGCAAGATGATCAATCTGGTTAACAGAAAAAAAGCTGCACTATACTTCGAATAAATTACATTTGAGGAGCTAATTTTGGAAAGATAATCTAAAATCTTACGTCTTCGTTACTGCAGAACTGACATTAACATAATTTCAAATTTATTACATATTCTAACCCTTCTAAGTTGAAAATTTATGTGGCGTATGTAATGGCACTGATAACGAGGATGAATATCATTTTTTCTCTTTAGAAGTTTTAATAAACTGATGGAAGAGCACTGATAGATGCCACAATTTTCCTGATCATGTAACCGGATTTCTTTGATGTTCTAATTTTGCACTGCACTGACATTTTTTTGGGACTAATTACCAGGTTTTTTTCTTCATGATATCAAACTTAAGATAATCTTTGGTAAATTTTGGGGGATTAAAGTACACTAAAATGTTTAAAATCCAATGAAAATATTTAAATTGATGTAAGAAATGATTTAGAGAAATTCGAAAAATGAGTATATGATGGGTATCAATCACACACCATTACATCAAAATTAATTAATGAACATCAGAATTAATGAATGAAATAAACAAGGATAATTATTAACGTAAGATATGTCACAGTAAACTAAAACCACTTCTTTGAAAGTCAACACTCCAAATGCAAATACATACAGCAGAACCTTGGAAAGGACTGGAAGGAATTATCTATTAATCCAGTCAATTTATTCTACCTCTTTGATTAACAAATCTGAGGCTGGGGTAATTTAAACCATCAACCTTTAAGAGTCTCACGATTAACAGTTTTTAATGAGCATCCTGCCTTGAAGGCACATGTACGATTTTAATAACATATCACAGATAGTTTGTAACACTTTCACTCTTTATAAAAATAATCATGAAATTCACAGAAATTGAAGCAATACAAAACTTTGATGACTTTCCAAGACTTAGATTTAATAAAGGTATAAAAAATCCACAAAAGTAAGGTGTTAAGAAATAAGCTTTATAACATGCGGAAGAATTTTTATTAGGTTTTAGTCAGGAAACTGCATATGTTTTGTTATCTGAATTACGCAACCCAATTAAAGCCATTATTCTTCAGACACGCGGCAGAAATTTGGGTATCTGTTGTAACGCATCAATGAAAACAAGCGCAGCACAGGGGCATCTGATACATCCCGGGTGGGGTGATCTGAGCACAAATGTGGTATTTATCCCCGTTCTGGTGAAACTTGTAAGCCGTAACCATGACCATTTGGCCTCTCTGGCATTATACGGCAGGAAAATAATCCTACTTTTTATAATTGGTGGCGTTTTTTCAAAGAAAAAAGAATGTTAATGAAAATCAAAAGTGAGTATGTTGCCAATACAGCACCATAATGTTTTTATATATCTTTTTTTGCCATCATACCATGTTGTTTGTTATATTGCAGACTACAGTTATTTAAGAGTTTCTATTAATATCAACTATTGGAATGGAAAATAATACAAAATACATACTAATATATAAAGACGCCAATCAAAAGTACATGTATATATTTTAAAAGATTTAATAGGATGATACAAATAATTGTGTAATTGTATCCATCAAGATTAGTGAAGATATACTTTAATAAATTACGATGGTATTGATGCATATATTTATATATCCCCTACTCATTAAAGAAAATCTTGTACAAGGGGCTGCCTAAAATGACTCATTTTACGCACATAGCAAAAGTCTTCTTCACCAATGTCAGAATTTTACAAAAAAAAAAAAAATGATTCATGAATTTTCGCATGAGCAAATGAATTACCAAGGAAATACAAATAACACACATCTTTGTTCCATTATTATCAGAGATGTCAGTTTCCATTGCCCATGTTTTCCCGAATTATGCAACACACTACCAAGGGACCTTTAAAACCCCTCTACAGTATCTGATGGTGCTAAAATTAATTTGAAGCTTGTCTCTAGAATAAATCTATCTATCCCATATGGTGGACCAAGGGAGCCATAATTTTGAAACAAACTTGTCTATTGTAATAAAATATCGGAATAAAGACGGGAGACTATTGTGATGAATATATTCTCTCAGTAACTTAAGTATGATTTGAGACATATGCCATTTGCGCATGCAAACAATATTATATAAATAACAACAATATATAGTACAGTCTGTTGATTACTTCTGGTTGTTTGGTTTTTATGAGGGGACATAACTCTGGATAGTGTAATTCTCCTGCCATTGAGAAATGACAGTATGGAAGAGGTAAAAGAATGAAATAAATGTAGTTTGTTTTAGAATGCTTGCTTTGAAAATGAAATGAACTGAAATCTTTTGATTTTCTTTCTTCTTTTTGTTTTTTTAAGTTTATTAAATAACGCCAACGGTAATCTTTTACAACATGCCATAAAGAAAGTATGTTTGTGTATAAACAGCTTAATATACTGCAAAATGTTTTGGGTAAAATATGGTGTAGCAAAATTATTTTTCAGACGCACAGTCATTTTGAGTAGAACCATTGACCACTCTTAAGGAGCCAGCTTAACAACTTCCTCACTTTCTGCATGCTCAATATGAATATGATTTTTACCTTGGAAGGATTTTTTAAAAAGATTAATAAAGAAGCTAGCCAAAGAGAACCTTCTGCATCTTGAATGTAGAGTTGGACAAGATACTATATATACATAGTTCATAACATTTTCATACCTGCAGATTTAAACCAAGCAGGAAATTTGTTTCTTCCTTGTAGACTTAACTTTGAATCAAGACATTTTTCAAAACATGGTGCCAAACAGTCTCAAAGTAAAACTTGTTTGTATATATTTTCCATTTGATAATGATACCGATCTGTGAAATTAGTCCAATGTGGCCAATTATTTTTCATAAAATTTCTAAAATAATTAAAAAACATCACTAATCAGACAGTACTATTGGTCTTGTGGGACGTTATTAGCCTGATAAATGTGTATAAAATAATATATATAGCCACCGTTTAAGATAAAATAGGAAAAAAATATGCTTATATCTGTAATCATTTTTGGGGGCGCATGCGCAATGCGCCCCCAATGTAATAACGACAAATTCAGATTTACTATGATGTGAACACAATTAGTCAGCTACCTACGCTAAGCAAAATAGTTCCAAAACTTCGCAGTAACTCCAAAATCATAGTTCCCTATCTATTTTAAAATTGACTGGCCAATTTTGTACTAAATTTAGCAATCGTCTTTTAAAATTGTATGTATATTTTTGCTTTACGCGATTTTAATATTACTACGCCAGCGGTCGATCATAGCCAAAGTACTTGCATAAATATAGTACAAATTACATGTAGTCACAAGTTAATTAAGTGTCATAGAACTCAAAAATTTAGCAAGTAATGGAATACGGATTTCAGATCAGCTAACTTTAAAGCTTATAGGGCCTAATGCTTCATAAGTGTAAATTTAAGAAAAACAATGCATGCGTATGAATACGAACTATTTTCGCCCTTACGTCATTTTACCGCAATCGCCATTGTTTACAAGTTCATCCGTGAAAGATTGAGAAGTTTATATAGAAGTTCCACGTGTTAAAACGAGTTGTAAGTTTTATTTTACAAAAACCTTATCTCCCATTTACCTAAATGTTGTATAACTTTGCTTGTTTTGCATTTATCCATTTATCAGTGGCGAAATCGTCGTCAAATCGTTGGCGATTCTGGTTGCTTACAAAAAATACAAGGACTTAATACCGGATATGACTTTAAATACAACGTTATTCAAGATGACTGATGTTCATTGTTTATATTTCATAACGTTGATATTTAAGTTGCAATCAAAAGCTGTATTTTTTACAAATTTTCTTCACAATCGGCCATTATCGGGTAAAGCTTTTTTGTACTGAATTGACCTTATCAAATTTTAAGTTTAGCAGTTCCTTCCCTTGAAAGTCCTCCCTCAAACCATTTCCTACCCAGACATTTTTGACCCATTTTTTTTTTTTATATATTTTTTGGAGGTGAGTTATTTACATCTAGCGTATACATATTGTTGATGCTTACCTTACAGCTTTTTTAAATAAAAAATATACAAGTTCAGTAATGATGTCTTATTACATTTTCTCAAAGAATGAACTGGATCCACGGTGCATAATCCATATTTGTACCCTCTTTGCGAAATCTGCTGAAACGGTACCTATCATTCACTGCTTAAAACAAACCAGCGGTGGATAACAATCATGTAAAATTTCATTGTAATAAGGAAAAGAGCTGAGGTATGACACTTAGAAACCACAGAACACTAGATTGTTTTATTTATGTGCTGATTCATCATGTGCCAGTCTCTCATGTACTGCAACTTCATAATATTAAGCTAAAAAAAATCGACATGTCTTGCCTTGTCCATCACCTCGGCTTACAGACACTTCACCCCCCAGACACTTCACCCTAGGCCCTTTTTTGCAGACACTTCACCCCTCATTTTAAGAAATTTGAGTAAGGTTATAATTATATTTACACTGGGGATTAGCATTGAAAAACCCTGACATTTGCTTAGTTCTGTGTAACATCTATACGCTACCAGTACAATTTTTTTTTTGGAAAAATGCGTTTTGACTCAAATTGATACTACATAACTGACAGGTATTCATGCCACATGGTTAATTTAGAATTTTATCCAGGGAGACATGAGAATTATGCATAATATTTATACACATTTAAAGTTAAACCATGCATAATATATTGATTTCTTATTGGAGTGAAAAAAATGAGTACATGTACATAAATAATGTTCGGAAGTATAAAATGAACTAGGTACAAATATTGCTCTGTCAGATGTAGTTATACTTGGTTTTTATCACATATCACTTATCAATATGAAATCATCCATTTTATATATGCCAATTTTGGATGGGAATTTTGACAGTAATTTTGGGACTTTAAAAATAAAACATTTGAAAATTTGCTGTCTTTTTTTATTGGGAATGTAAATAGTTTTATAAGGGAAAAATGCTGTTCTATTACAAATAGAATAGATAATAGTTACAAATACTACAAATAATATATCAGGGATTGAAAAACGAAAAACAACAACAACAACAATGCTTAAAAAATATAAATTTCCTACATGTTCTGACTCATTTTTCTTTTTTGAAGACATTTTTTCTTTTTTGAAGACACTGTTTAACTTACTTCTTTCTGGCTAAACATTTGCCAAATATTGCATTGTGACATTTTAAAAAAATTTTGTGGAACATACTGGAATCGCCGCACGGGCTTTTAGTAAGTTTTTACAAAATAGAATCAGACAGAATTAAGCGTTGCATTCAACAAATCAACATCAGTTTTGCCCATCAAACACAGGGGAATTATTTTGTGCTCTGTCCTACTAGTAAAACTTGAAAAATGGTTTCAAAAGAATTGAATTGAAATTTGATTAATTTATGCTAGAAATTTCACACGTCCTGCAGGACGGGCATTTTTGGGAGATTAACTTGTCCAGAGTCATTTTTACTCGTATTTATCATTTATAGCGGACAAGTGGATTTGTCAAGCCTTGATTAACTGCAAGTGATTAACCACATTATTTCCATAAAACTTATACTACATGTAATTACATTGTTTGAGATAATAAATCATTTGACTTACTAGTGAAATAAGTTTAAGACTGCATAATATTGATATAAAAGTGAATTCAGTTAGTGGGTTCCAAACTACAGGTGGAAACTGTTCTATTTTCTATTCAAGTTTTTTTTGATGAAACAAAACTTAATCCTGACAACAGTTATATATATGCTTAACAGTGTTGTTTTTTGATTATTTTAAAATCTGTTGAAAATATTCATATTAAATTCATGAAAAGAAGTTTAAAAAAAAAGAGAAAGAAATGAGATTTGGGCATAATTTTTAAGAAGGTAAAGATACTTCAATGAAAAAGTAAGATAGGTAACAAAAATCAATCAAACGAAAAACTCATTTAAATTTCAAGTTGTTCCTGACATGTCTAAGTTGTTCCTGACATGTCAGAACAAAATTAATAATTTTTTTTTTTTGAAATCTGGTAACCTCGAGCTATGTTCTCTACCGATTGAGCTATGATTCCGACAATTATTACTCACTTTTACAATAATTATTGTTAGTCAATCATATCTGGACATGCAACATTCAACTTACCCATATATATGCCTTTAAAAAGGACTGTTTCGACTATAAATACTTGAAATTATAAAGAAATTGCCCTATTATTCTTTACAGTCTATTGTGTATAGGCTAAATTTAGGAGACACTTGTGAAAATACGCAATGAAAAATGAATAATTACATTGAAAATACAGGAAATGAAAATGAGCATTTTACTTTATCAATATTTCTTAATGTTTCAATGAAGTATGTAATAAATTAAAAGAACTATTGTATTGATTAGGAAAAGTTTTTATTTCAGGTTTGTGAATAAAGGCTTGTTTGTTAGATTTCAATTGTGGCTCAGTTGGTTGTTTGCTGAGAAGCTGTGAAACATAATTATACAGGCCATTAAGGTAAAAACATGTTAGCTTTTTTCTGACTTTGATATATATATATCCATCTTACTGTAGCATAACAAAAGAGAACAATAGAATTCATTCCATAACAATAGAATATGGGGCCATGGCCCTTTAATAAACAAAAGGAAAAACAATAGTAATGGTCCTTAATCCCTTTCGGTCACACGGGCAAACATTTTCTTCAAGTAAGACCATACATTATATATGTTAGAAAGTTAAAAAGGAAATGTTCATTGTTATATATATATTTGGTTTGAAAATCTTTGTATATTTACAATTTTGACCAAATAGTTTCTCAAAGTATTTATTTGACATTAACTGACATAATTAGTGGCATATGTTTCTAACTTCTTTTCCAGGAGGTTTTTGTCAGATTGATGAATGTGAAATTAAGAGGACCCATTTTGAGGATGCTTTTTATGAATGGAATCACGAGAGATGAAGTCTAAAATGTGATACTGTCAATGTGACTAACCTTGAAGTAAACAGATGACACAATGTTTTTTCAATGTCATGGGCATATAATGAAGAGGTACATGATTATTTGTATACACTTTTCCTTAATAAATACTTTCTAAATGTTTGACATGTTTAAAGGCCAACACAGGGCTCAAAGTTTATTTAAAATCTGTAAGCTTGGCACTTAGAGCCAATTGTATATTAATTATTTCAATATCTTTTCATTATGCAATCTGTTGTTAATTTAGGAACAAAAGTCGATAGCAAAAACATTTTAGCCGTGTCATGACGAAACCAACATAATGGGCATCCGCCCAGTCTGATCAGGATCCATACTGTTCGCTATCAGTTTCTCTACTTGTAATAAGGTTTGTAAGCGAACAGCATGGATCCTGATCAGACCAACCTGGTCTGGATCCATGCTGGTCGCAAACCCATTATGTTGGTTTTGTCATGACATGGCTCATTTGTGACATGTAATTCACTTAAATTGTATTTTGAAATTCAAGTTTTCATTCCTTTCACCTCAAGGCATTTGACATTGAAATAGTGACTTCATGTAGTAAGCAGTCAGTAAAACCTAATCATCTCATCTTGACTTAGCTGTATATAGATTATCAGAATCACTCACATTTACAAATTTATATGACTTTAAAAAGTTGTGTTACTAAGCAAATAAATAGATTTAATTGGGGTGACCATAGTCAAAGTAATGCACCTAAACCACTTACCTTTAAAGATATACTATGCTCATCAGTAAAATATTTTAATCATGAAAATGTATTGAATTCTATGCAATTCTTTTTGAATATGTCTAATTTGAATGAATTAACTATGCATTGGAAGCCATGTTCCTTCTTACGAGACAAAAAAAAATTTGGTCCTTCTTAAAAAAACTGTCAGTTTCCTAACAACACTATATATTTATATTGTGACCAACTATAGCATGTGGTGTTTTAACATTACATAGCTACTTTATGTAAACACAAAACATGCTTATTTTATGTTTACAAAGAGACTGTGTAGCAATTATCAATGTTCTATTATATTTAATATGGATTCTTTAATGTGAGAAAGCAATCCAGCTAGCTTTAAAAAAAAGGCGGTGGTTCTACTCAGATGCTCGTTTGTGAAATCTGATCAGAGGGGTTGAGCTCTGGCATTGGTCGCGCATTTTTTGGTTTTATACCTTTATAAATCAGAGTAATTCTAACAGAAAGATGCTGAAAAAAAGTTAACATACAAGTATGGAATATCTCGGTCAGCAATAAACTTTTTCAAAACTCTATTTCAGAAAACAGAGATGCTTGTTTGACAGATACAGTAATAGTAGGAGTTATGAGGGAAGATAGAATGCAGTGATAACTATATTGAGGCACCACTTCATCACCAAGAACATGAAATGAATTATCAATGTTTTCAATGTGTTTGAACACCCATTTTAAATAATACAGCTCAGAGTGAATTTTTCAAAATAATTAATTCTGTTTTCAAAGTTTTTTATTTAGATGTTAGTTGATCTTGTCAAGTACTTAATTTTTTTAGGGATGGCAACAATTACTAAAATCAATACTCGAGTACTCGGTCATTTAGAGTATTCGGTTACTGGGATGATTTCCAATGATCTTTAAATTTTTATCACACAATATCAACACCGTCTGCATGCTACCTTCATTTCTATTTTAATTCATAGAATTTGTAGCTATAAATAGGATTGCAAGAAATACATATAATAAATATAAGCATAAGAAATGTCAATGACAGCATTTATTATATACCTATAAATTTTCTTCCTAAAACACAGGATTATCTTGAAGCGCAAATAGTTTTCAACGGTTAGAAAATTCTGTATTATGTTAGAGACAAATACAGTACCATATATGAAAGGCCTGGACTATTTTTATGCTCCCCAAAAAATTTCGGGTGAGCATATAGTCGCCGCCTTGTCCATCCGTCCGTCCATCCCCTTTTCTTGTCCGGGACTTAACTTTGAAACAACAACAGGTATTAACATGAAACTTTGTAGGTAGATAGATCTCATTGAGTAGGTGTGCAGTGCACAAGAACCTTAACTCTGCCTTGCTTAATTTTTGAATTATTCCCCTTTGTTTATTTTACACTTTGAACTTTGTCCGGGACATAACTCTAAAACTATAAGAGGTATCAACATGAAACTTTGTAGGTAGATAGATCTAATTGAGTAGGTGTGCAGTGCACAAGAACCGTAACTCTGCCTTGCCTAATTTTTGAATTATTCCCCTTTGTTTATTTTACACTTTGAACTTTGTCCGGGACATAACTCTAAAACTATAAGAGGTATCAACATGAAACTTTGTAGGTAGATAGATCTCATTGAGTAGGTGTGCAGTGCACAAGAACCGTAACTCTGCCTTGCTTAATTTTTGAATTATTCCCCTTTGTTTATTTTACACTTTGAACTTTGTCCGGGACATAACTCTAAAAGTATAAGAGGTATCAACATGAAACTTTGTAGGTAGATAGATCTCATTGACTTGGTATGCAGTGTACAAGAACCGTAACTCTGCCTTGCCTAATTTTTGAATAATCCCCCTTTGTTTATTTTACACTTTGAAATTTGTCCGGGACATAACCTTTAAACTATAAGAGGTATCAACATGAAACTTTGTAGGTAGATAGATCTCATTGACTTGGTATGCAGTGCACAAGAACCGTAACTCTGCCTTGCCTAATTTTTGAATTATCCCCCTTTCTTTATTTTACACTTTGAACTTTGTCTCTAAAACTATAACAGGTATCAACATGAAACTTTGTAGGTAGATAGATTTCATTGAGTTGGTAAGCAGTGCACAAGAACCTTAACTCTCCCTTGCCTAATTTTTGAATTATCCCCCTTTGTTTATTTTTACACTTTGAACTTTGTCCAGACATAACTCTCAATGTAAAAGAGATATCAACATGAAACTTTGTAGGTAGATAGATATCGTTGAGTAAGTTTGCAGTGCACAAGAACTGTAACACTGTCTTGCCTACTTTTGGAGTTATTGCCCTTTGATCATTTTGACACTTTGAACTTTGTCCGGGACATTACTCTAAGCAGTGCTTAAGAATTATTACTCTGCCTTGCCTTATTTTGAAGTAATTGCCCTTTGTTTATTTTTACTTTTTGACTTTTGTACGAGACATAACTTTAAAACTATTAGAGATATCAACATGAAACTTTGTAGGTAGCTAGATATAATTGGATAGAACTGCAATGCTTAAAGAACCTAAACAAAGCCTGGTCTAATTTTGGAGTTATTACCCTAAGTTCATTTTTACACTTTGAATTTTACCCGGGACATAACTCTGATATCATCAGGAAACTTTATAGATAGATAGATCTCATTGAATAGAAGTGCAGTGCAAAAAAACATAACTCTGCTTTGCCTAATTTTGGAGTTTTTGCCCTTTGTTCATTTTTTTTATACTTTCCTGTGTCCAGAACCTTCTCGGGGAGCATCACCCGGTTCAACCGGTTCTTGTTGACGTTGGTTCTGATCTTAGCTGTGTATAACGTAGTATATGGAAACGGCAACCAAAATGATAAAAGGTGTGGCTGGTTTTGCACAAATTACGTATTCATCTGTCAGTCATAATTTATTTCTTGACAGCTACATTTCTTTTTCTGAAATTTCTTATATAAGTGTAGTATAATGAAAATCATTTATACTTCAAACGAAAAGGTATATTATAAAAGGAAAATTATGTTGTAGTAGCTTTCTGAGGCTATGCATTTTTCTACTTGCAATGTTGGAAAATTGATATCTAGCTCGCCCTTTGGTCTCGCAAGATATCAATTTCCCACCGCTGCTCATAGCAAAATACAAAGCCTCAGAGAGCTACTACAACATAATATTCTGTATATATATTTTTTTATAATTAACAAGTTTGGGCTATCCTTGAACTTTTTTTTTATTTAATCAAGATTGATTTTTTTAAAATATATTCATATGAATGCATGCAGCTTTGAAATAGATTTTACTTATGTAATTTCACATGTAGCTCTTCGAAAAAAAAATCACTTGAGCAAAAAAAATTTTATAGGCATAAAGTGATACCCGTTCTGTCATCATCAGTTTTTGGTTTTTAGCTCACCTGAGCTTGCTCAGGGTGAGCTTTAAGGATCGGTGAATGTCCGTCGTCCGTCCACAATTGCTTGTGAACACTCTAGCGGTCGCATTTTTGCCTCAATCATCATCAAACTTGGTCAGGATGCTTATCTAGTTGAAAGCATGGATGAGTTCGAACATGAGTCATCTCGGATGAAAGGCTAGGTCACAAGAGCTAAAAAAAGAAAAACCTTGTGAACACTGTAGAGGTCACATTTTTGACCCAATCATCATTAAACTTGGTCAGGATGTTTGCCTAGGTGATAGCTCGGATGAGTTCGAACATGGGTCATCTCTGATGAAAAAGTAGGTCACAGGAGCTATAAATAGAAACACCTTGTGAACACTCTAGTGGTCACATTTTTAAACCAATCATCATCAAACTTGGTCAGAATGCTTGTCTAGTCAATTGCTTGGATGAGTTTGAACATGGGTCATCTCTGATGAAAAACTAGGTCACAGGAGCTAAAAATAGAAAAACCTTGTGAACACTCTAGTGGTCACATTTTTGACCCAATCATCATCACACTTTGTCAGGATGCTTATCTGGTTGATAGCTCGGATGAGTTCGAACATGGGTCATTTAGGATGTAAAACTAGGTCACCGGAGCTATAAATAGAAAAACCTTGTTAACACTCTAGCAGTCACATTTTTGCATCAATCATCATCAAACTTGGTCAGGATGCTTATCTAGTTGATATCTTGGATGAGTTTGAACATGGGTCATCTCAGATGAAAATGTAGGTCACCGGAGCTAAAAATAGAAAAACATTGTTAACAATCTAGCGGTCACATTTTTGCATCAATCATCATCAAACTTGGTCAAGATGCTTGTCTATGTGATAGCTCGGATGAGTACAAACATGGGTCATCTCGGATGAAAAAGTAGGTCACCGGAGCTAAAAATAGAAAAACCTTGTTAACACTCTAGCAGTCACCTTTTTGCATCAGTCATCATCAAACTTTTGTCAAGATGTTTGTCTAGTTGATAGCTCGGATGAGTTTGAACATGGGTCATCTTGGATGAAAAAGTAGGTCACCTGGGGTAGAAATAGAAAAACCTTGTTAACACTCTTGTGGTCACATTTTTGCATCAATCATCATCAAACTTGATTAAGATGCTTGTCTAGGTGATAGCTCGGATGAGTTCGGAAATGGGTCATCTCGGATGAAAAACTAGGTCACAGGAGCTAAAAATAGAAAAACCTTGTCTACACTCTAGTGGTCACAATTTTGACTCAATTGTTAGCAAACTTGGTCAGGAAACTTGCCTAGGTCATTGCTGGGAATAAATCGAACATGGGACATCTCGGATGAAAAACTAGGTCACAGGAGATAAAAATAGAAAAATCTTGTTAACACTCTAGTGGCTACTGTTGTGATCCAAATATTCTGTTAATTGGTCTAAAAGTTTGTTTTGATGATTTCTAAGTCAAGATCCAACATGGGTCATCTTGGATGAAAAACTAGGTCACACCGCCCAAATATGGAAAAGCCTTGTTAACATTCTACTGGTTACATTTTCGACTCAATTATCATCAAACTTGGTCAGGATGCTTGTCTAGGTAATTGCTTGGATGAGTTCGAAATCGCATGTGAAACTAGGTCACCGGAGCTAAAAATAGAAAAATCTTGTTAACACTCTTGTTGCTACTGTTTTGATCCAAGTATCCTGGAAATTGGTCTGACAGTTTGTTTTGATGATTTCTAGGTCAAGTTTGAATATGTGTCACCTGAGTAAAAAACAAGGTCGCACTGCTCAAATATGGATAATCCTTGTTAACACTGTAGTGGTCACATTTTTGACTCACCTGTCGTGAGACTTGGTCAGAATGTTTGTCTAGGTAATTGTTTGGATGAGTTTGATAAGTCAGGTGAGCGATCTAGGGCTATCATGGCCCTCTTGTTTTGTATGGTTTTATTTAAGAAATATTTTGTTCCAGTTATTTACAGATGTTTGTATGATTATTGGATTAAAGTTAAAGTACACTGATTTTCTTGTTATACACTACAATCCATTGTAACATCTTGAAATGTTTTCCATGATATATACATATATATTTATATATGGAATAACTATATGGTCTCAACCATGACTTGGTAGTTTTTAGCTCGACTTTTTGAAAAATATGAGAGCTATTGTAGTAACCCAGCGTCCGCGTCTGCGTTGGTTTAAGTTTATTTTAAAGTCAAATATCTCAATTATTGCTTGAGATATTCAATTGAAACTTACAATAGTTATTTATAGTAACAATGTACATCAGATTGACAAGTTGGATAACTCTGCTTACAATATTAAAACTTCACATGCATTTAGGGTCATAATTGTACATGTAGGTTACTGACCAAGATCCATAATTTTATCGAGAATTTAGGCTTATTTTTCTCCCCTTTTTCAACTTAGAATTTAATGGTAAAGTTTTGCTTGTAAGCATGTTATCTCCATAACTACTGAAGGGTTTGTGCCTTTTTTGGGACAATTTTATGCATTCATGATAATAAAGCAGTGATTTACTTGATAAAACATCTTAATCCAAGCCTTTGTACCTTTTCGGTCAGTTTTATGTATTCATTGGTAAGCATTTTTATACTCAATAAACACCCTTGTGACAACTTTTTCGAATAGT